ATATTATATTATACAGTATATGATACATATATAAAACTACAATCACTGTTTATTAATGAGTCAAGGTTGTGTTATCACTCTGTTGACACAAGCCAGGCCTTGGATAACAAGATGTCTGCCCCTTTTGTGTCACTTTGCAGCCAACATAATACCAAGTCCTCTGGCTGTCTTGAAATAAATGTAAAATCACCACTTTTCACCTTCATCATTTGTTTTGTGAATGGCGGTCATTGTGACTTAAGACTGGAATGGTTAAAATAAACAAGTATTTACTTTCACCAGAGGCAATTCTGAGTTCTTAAGGCAGGAAGCAAAACTTTGACAGGGTACACATTTCAATGAAACCATGTGAGCAACACGATCACTGATTGTAGAAAGCTGTTAAAATTTTAAATAAACAAGGCTAAAAACACACACAAAAAAAAAACAGAATGTATCCTTACTTCAGAAAACAACAGCAAAACTCTRCGTAAATCATGCAATAGCTTCTGTTATTGCTGAATTTCATATTATTATTATTACTGTCTAAAATATTGATCTAATTATGTGGTTTTCTCTCTGTTTTCTAGTTAGTAGTGTAATGACGCAAATATTATATGCAGGTTTAAAAGCTCATTTCCTGTTATAAAATTTTATTTAGTTATAGTAAATAAAAAATGAATGGAAAAAAATGGCCCAACATTCAAAGAAGCCTCTAGAACGTTGTATACAGTGAATGGGCACTGTGTTTTGGAAAACACATTTAAACCTTGCTGAAATTATCTGCTTTTCTTGCTTATTTTCAATGAAACAGATGAAGAAAAATATTGTTATGTCAGTCATTTTAAATATCTACCTTACATAATATGACTTAGATTATATATACTGTACATGAAGAGGCCAGTAGGGGAGGGGAACTGTTCACAGCTGGATTCCCTTTGTTGCTGTTAAATTAATGTGGGCACAAGTTCAAAGTGTTATTTATAGGCGTTCAAACTGTTCAAACTGTTATTTATAGGCTACATCTGGACAGGTCATGACACAAACGGATTTAAAGATAAATAAAGACGTTTTTCTTTTAAAAGCATCGTTTTGACAAAACTTTAGAATATCGAGATACTAGATTTTATGCCAATTTGACAATAGTTAAGTTATGTAGTTTAAAAATATATGATACAACGGTGGGGTGGGGGCTGACTTGATTCCAGCAGCTTGAATGGGCAACTTTTCTTTACTCTGATTGGTCAAAATTTACAGACAGTCACATTGGCCAATCAAATGGCGTCATAGTAAAAGCTTTCGTCCAATGAGCGTGAGCTATACTGATTCTGAAGTGTTGCGACACTTTATGGTTGAGCTATTTACATCTTTCATTTTCAGTTTAATTTTTAACTCCAGAAAGACTGTGACAGCAAATCTACGTCGACGCGTGACTAATCATCTTTCAGGTATTAAAGAGCAAAGTGTTTGCTATGTTTATCAGCCGAGGTTTTCGTTAGCCGGTAAAATAATGTTGCTAGCTTAGCTAAGAGCTAACGCAGACGGTTTTTCACCGGTACAGGCGGACATCTCTTTGTCTGACAGGGGAAGGCGTGCTCTTTTGTTAGCTTTTCCTTTCGTGTTGTCGGGAAGGGAAAACTGTTAAGGTCAGGATTTTACTGCCACCTTCAACTCGGAAAGTGTTTAGAAAATGCAGATCGCGAAAAAGTACTTTTCAGAAGGCTTGATTCAGTTAACGATCTTACTTAGTTTGGTTGGAGTTCGAGTAGACATAGATAGTTACTTAACCGGCTACTATTCGCCTTTGGCAGAGATTAACGTGGGTCCTAGCTCAGCCTACATCCAAACACCCTTTCACATTCTGAGGGACACTCTTGACGGAAACGGCGTCCATCCGAAATGTCCTGAGTTGGACTCTTTCTTTGCGAGTCGTCGCCTGCTGGACGAGGTGAGGAGCCTCGGCTCCCCTCGCTTCCCCACGCAGCTGAACGCGTGGCTGGTACACCAAGTTTCTGCCACTGACAGGGCTGAGCACGGGCCCTCGACCAGCGACGACACCGACTCCAGCCCAGGGTTAGAAGACCTTCGAGATGAAGCGGGGTGTGACAGCGAGCACCTGCCCGCTCGAGGCCAAGAAGTGGAGCAGACGAGTCCTGAACTGGGACAGGGGCCTGGCGGGGCTGAAGCCTGCGTGTTTCCTCAACAGGCAAGCAACATCATAACAAACATTTTACTTGTGACTAATGCTGCACCATAATTTACTAACTGCCAAGGGATTATGGGGTTAAGACTTCGGCTGTGACATGTTTAACTTGGACTACCCAGTGTAATACAAAGGCTATGGTCCTCTCAGCCTTGTTCATTAATGTTGTTTTGTTTCCCAGTGAACAAGGAAGCAACACAATAAGACAAACAGCTGGCTCAAAGCAGAAAGCACATTCCTTTTCATTATGCATGGCTATGGCACACCTTTACCATACACACACAAAAAAGGATTGGTTTAATCAATATTTGACTTTATTGATAAAAAGTTAAGTTATTTGACAATATAATCCATTCCCATGACAGTCAGGCATCACAAGTATTCAGCAAACTATTTGGTGCACCTGACCTGTCAACCTTGACTAATTAACATCGTTACCACAGAAACAAAAACTTTAAGTTATTTGTTGCTTTGTTCTTATTATTGTGAACTTTTGAGTTGTTTCGTATTACACACCTTCCAGTTATTAAGTGTTTTTAAGATGTATATGTTATGACCTAGCAACAGCTGACGTTTCCAATTGTGCAAGTGTATCACCTTTCTTCAGACGCCGCCCCCAGCTGTGGGCCTTGGAGGTGAAGAAATGAGGCTCACACCCTGTTTGCATATAAAAGCAGTGTTCTAGATATGTACCATATATGGCTGCTTTTGACAGTTTTTATTAAAGTTTTGTAGTTTGTTGATGTTTGCTGTTCCAAATCAGAAAGCGATGTGATGTTATAGTCAATAAAAAGATATATTAATGAGACCAGGTGAAGCTGACAAAATGTAAGTGGAAGATAACCGTGGCAGATGGTGTACTTTAGTTTTGTCTCAAGGATTAACACAAAAATGTCTTTTGTCGAAGGTTAAGACCCGTATTGCTGGAGGTGTATTAGGTCGTCTCTAGACTGACTGTTGAAACAATGGACTAAAACAAACTTTGTCTCTGTCATAAACAAAGAATTACTCAACTCAAAAACATATATATATATATATATATATATATATATATTAAATCTGGAATACCTGAATTGAGACCAATGTAACAGAATTGCAATGACCTTTTAGAGGATTCTGGGTGGCAACTAACTAAGCCTTCATTTTCGCTTTTCCTCTGTGCTAAATCCTGACTGCTGTCAACCCAAATCCCATCATTCCAACCTCCCCATCTGCCTTTCTTCAATCTGCCAGGTGGACGAAGCAAARGTTAAAGAAGAGGAAGAGGCTTTTCCAATCACTCAGTTGGCTCACAGTTCCATGCTGGAACAAGAGGTGGGAGTATTAATTATTTTATTGGACTGTTTTGAGAGTATTAGATATTACATTACCTGCATCATCACCGTTAGTTTGTGTTATTTTATTTTATTTGAATGATTTTAGAGTTTTTAACAGTACACCCAACATGTGCTCAGATGGATATAATTTTGGCTCAAGATTTTCCAACTCTTGTTCCTTACAAAAGCCGAGTTGTTAAATAACAAATAAATTGTAATTATAGTACTGGTATATGCTAATAATTTAACCTGTACATTTTGTTGAAATTGTGCAATGACAATACAGTATATCAAGTGTTGAAAAAAGCATTTTAAACACATACGTACATATTAGGGTTGCACCAACCACAGTTTTCTGGCCAATCATCAGTCTTTGAAAAGTCTGACATGCTGATTTTGATTTAAGCTGACAATGCGCCTTCAATATTCCAATCTTATTTWATYGAAAAACATTGAACAATACTCTTGAAACAATACAAACTTGTTTTAACTGTACATTAAGTAGTGCTCACAGCAGAGTAAAAGGGGATAGTGGCTGATTTTCAGACCTTTTGTGGAGGTTGAAGAGAAGCTGATCTTTTCCACCAATTTTATCTAAGTATCTGCCGATCTCTGGTCTCCCAAAACTAGGGAAATCGGTGCTGATAAATTGGCCGATGCACCCCTAGTACATATACTAATAWCACTAATCTTCTCGTCTCACATCTCCAAAAAAATATAGGTAGCACTGTTATCATAAAATGAGTTGTTGTCACATAGCACTTCATTTTCACTTGATRAATGTCTTACTTCTGGCTTAAAGGCATTATATTGATGTAGTTAAGGGAGTTGGAAACATTTTTCAAGAAATTATTGATCAATGTTCCTTTTGCTTTACTGCTGCAAGATTCACAATATAATGAAAGTGCCTTACTTTGGACAAAAATAGTGTTAGGTCACAATATAAGTATATCCCTGTTGCACCAACGCCATGAAAACTGCCGCAAGTGCCACCATCATGACACTAGCCGTATATAGGGCTGCCATGATT